GGATGGTTTGTTAAGTTTTAGGATGGGGTTGGTCCTGCATAGCCCTAGATAGGAAAGACCTGTGGGGGAGGCCACTTTGAGATATAGTTTGGGTGAGACCCATGGGCAAGGCTCGTATGATTATAGTAGCGCAGGTGGTACCTGGTAGAGACCATAGGGTCGAGATAGGGGATCGAGGATCCTAGGACTTAGGGAGCCAGAGTGGCATGGTAGATAGAGCAGTTTTAGATAGCCGAATTTTCTTCTGAAGTCACTGGGAGCGTCTGAGAGTTTGAGCTTGGGTTCAATAACCGGAGAGAATCCGGTATTCCAGATAGTGTACAGATAGGTTCGGGCCTGGGAGGTCTCAGTTCTTTTGGAAAGAAGGCGAGAGGCAGCATGGTGTTCAGGCAGAAGTAACTATCATGAGGGTTCTTTGGTGCGAAGCAGCTTGTGGATCGGAAGTGATAAGCCACTTGCAGCGGGATTAAATAATCTCAGAGTAATGGATTTGACCCTGTTGCACAGCTCTCATCTGAGTCAAACCGTTGTAGGGATGAATCCTCTACTCGAAGGATTATCTGAAACACCTGTCAAGTATAATTGACCAGAAGATGGTTGTGCAGGTGTAGTCGGTCATGGAGACAAACCAGTTTAGGATTCGGACTCTAGGAAGACAGATGTGGTTGAGGAAGCTTGAAGTTCGTCTTCTTCATAATGGAAGATCGATTTGGCTTTCAGTCGTCTTGGGAATATTTTTTCATGCATAGAATCATCGGTTGCATTCCTCAGATCAGTTGTTGGGAGATGGGTGTTAGTAAGGAGAGACTTCGAGGACGAAGTCTAGTTTAAGTGGCAGAGAGTTGTAACACCGTGTTTTGAAAATCACTTTAGTTGTGGTTTCTGAGACCCAGCGTATAAGCATTTCGGTTTTTTATGGGTCTCGGGTCTTATTTGAAAGGTTTTAAGGCTTGGTTGGGTAGTTAGTAGCGTAGGGGTTCTCGCCACCTTTTCGTGGGTATAAAGTTTGTCGAAAACGGACTTAGAATGAAGGAGTTATAGCACTTTGAAGTAATATGCAATATTTGTCCTTAATGAAGAAAGATGGCAAGAAAGGACCATGCATGCAAGGTGGTTGATGCGAGTGTACACCCAACATAAGCTGGGTTACGCCCAACGTATAAAGGAGAATGGTTGTGGATGCGGAGGGGCGTACGCCCAGCGTACGCTCAGAGTTCCCAAACCCTAATTTTCGGGTTGAGACCTATATTAAGAACCTTATGTATCGAAGTCCAGCCTCCATGTCCACCCTAAATGAGCTACTACAAAACCCTAATTCATATTTGAGTGTTCTTAGAGCTTATAAGGTCACTAGAGAAGCATCTTGGTGTTGTAGATCCATTTTCCAAACAAGAAAGGAGCAAGGAAAGGTGGTGGTTCAAAGGAGAGGTTACAGATTTGGGATTGTTGATTCATTTCTACCCATTTCAAGGTATAAAAAACTAAACTTGGTGATTATCTCCTTAGATCTCTTAGATTGAGTTTTTTTTGGACCATTTTGGTCCAAAGGTTGGAGCTTTGTGGTTCAATCCGATTTCTAGGACTTGGAGTTGCTACTCTCAGTTCTAAATGAGTCCCTAAGGCAGAAAGTTTCCATCTTGGATGTCCTAATGGGTTCATGCATGAGTTAAGACCATTTCCATGGAAGTTAGTTATCACATTTCAAGTTTGGGCTCTATTGGTAGGTTGCAAGCCACCAAGTGAAGGACTTTATGGTTTAAGACGTTGAAAAGGACTTGGATCTATTTTTGTAGCTTCTGGAGTAGAGTATTAAGCACTTAATGGGAAGGTGACTTAACAAGGGAGTACGCTGAGCGTACATGCAGGTACGCCCAACGTACGCGCCATTTAGTTGTACGTTTAGTGTACATAAGAGTACACCCAATGTACTTATCAGATATGAGTTTGGTTTGTTTTGGGCCTCGGTTTGGTCCATGCAGAGGATTTTGGTTCTTTGGGCCTTTGTGGGCCATCAGAAGTCAGATAATGTAAGCCAGGAAGATGTTTGGGCTTGGGTAAGGCCTATTAGAGGGATTGGGCCTAATTTAGCAAATTGGGCCACTAGTAGGCTTGGGAAGCCTACCTAATGTTGGGCCTTTGTAGATCTTGGTTTGGGCCTTAGATATGGACCAAGTTTAACTAAGGGGGTAAAATGGTCATTTTACCCTAAGGAGGATTATTGATTTGGATTAATTGTTATTTTGGGTAATAATAGCACGGGAGTCGAGAGATCAGCAATTTGGGGATCTGCCAGCTAGCAGCCAGAGATTTATCAGTGGGAGTCTATTCAGCCTTGCGAGGTGAGTTTCCCTTTGTGTGAATGGGTCTAAGGCACCAATTTCGGCTCGTATATATGCATGTAGGATGTATGTTCCGGACTAGAGTCCGATGTCGGGCGGTGCCCGATGTAGGTTTATATGTATGATTTCGGACTACGGTTCAATGTCGGGTGGTACCCGAGGAAGGTTATGCATGTTTAGTTATACTAATTGTCTGTGTGATACTTGTATGTGTCTGGTAGGAAGATGAGTATGGGCGGGGGCCCGTACCTCATTACTAGTCGAGAGAGGATGGGGTTACATATCTCATTAGTAGAGTAGGAGCAAGGCCCAAGACAGGCGAGGCCTAAGGACTAGAGCATATTGTACTATGTATGATTCTTTATGTGTTAGCATGGTTATATGATATTGTTTGTATGTAGATAGAGGGCGGGGCCTGATGAGAAATAGATATGTATACTGAGCGGGGCTCAATTCCAGGCGAGGCCTGATGCCGGAGCAAGTCTGATGTCGGGCATGTACCGATGCAGCGGGTAGGGGCCCAGTATGTGGTTATGTATATGGTATGAGGTAGGTTGGGGAACTCACTAAGCTTCATGCTTACGGTTTTCAGTTTTAGTTTCAAGTACTTCCGGTAGCTGAGGGAATAGCTCGGGTTGACTGCATCGCACACACCAAGAAGTTTTAGTCTGGGATGTTTACTCTGATAAAATGAACATGCTTTGAAATAATACTCTGATTTGATATAACGACTTATGTTTACGATTTGATAATTATGGTTTAATGAATGTTTTAAAAATGGAATTTTTAGCCTTGAATTATGGGATGTTACACAAACTCCCCTCCCCTCCCTCATCCCCCCTCCCCCTAGAGAGAGAGAGAGAGAGAGAGAGAGAGAGAGAGTTCCAAATACTATGCTTAGATTTGAAACAATTTCTATTTTTCTGAAAGAGGCATATCAGAACCTATCAAAACACCAAGGTACGAAAAAGGAAGAGTTTATGCCTCACATTTAAGAAAGCTATCCATACTAGAGATATTGATATTATCTACACCAAAACCAAAGAGCTTGTTTTTACTATAATCAACTTTTAGCTCGGAAGAAAGAAAGAAGCACCTAAGAAGCCTTTTTAAGATTAATAAAGTTCAAATCCAACCAATCACCAATAAATAACACATCATCGGCATACATCAAATGCGAAAGACATGGTCCATTATTCGATAAAATGAGACCATAAAAATGTTATTTTGTAAAGTCGTACCATAAGGATATGAAGACTCTCCATAACAAGGATAAAATGAGGGGGGAGGGGGGGAGTATCTCCTTTCCTCACACCTCGAGAAAGAGAGAATTATATGGTCGGGGAGCCATTAACAAGGATGGTAGCCCTCCCGTAGAAAAGAATATCGTGAATCCAACTCATCCATGGACCATTTAGATCCAAAACCCATTTGAGACAACACTGAATCAAGCAAATACCAATTTAAAAAGACAATCTCCTTACAATTTAAAAAGAGATGTTTTGAAATTCGTCTCCATTGATTCCACTGATTGATTTTCCTGAAGGATGGTACCCCTCTGGACCATCGTGATACTTGGGGACAGGGAAAACATCTTTCATATACATGTCTATCACTTTGTGAAAATGAATATCATCGACCAATGTCCAAGTGTTATTATTAAGTAATATTTAATAGACTTTCTTCATCATACCTTGAAGGCACACACAAGCACATAATGAGATGCTTTGGTAATGTCCTAAATATCCCCTTCAAAATATGTTTTTCGATTTTCTTCGAATGTATTTCTTAGTTTCTAGTATGTTTTCTTCCATACATGACTACCACATGGGTACCACCTTTCACATAAGAGTAAATTATTTACAATGGCATTCTAAAAGATCTTGTGAAAATATTACCACATGGTCTAAGTCATCAAAAAGAATCATTATATCCTCTTTTTCAAGTCATGTTGTATATTTTTTCTATTAACTTAAACCCTAGCAAATATAGTAGACAAACGGGCCGCATTTTGGTTCGATAAGATGCTATCATTAGTATCTTCTTCAATACTCTTCTCCTAAAACTGACATACCCTATTGTTATCTTTTGTATATAGTTGACATTTTAATCCAAATATCAAAATAAAATCACCGAAACTATATGTTAGTTCTTGACCTTTAGTAGACCTGACAATTCCAAATACGAATACACAAATTTATGAGAGACACAAATACACGACACAAATAAATCTTGAAATTTGAGATAAAGTTTATTTCTCATCGTGTAATCGTATCGCGTCAAATTCGTAGCTAACATGTTACATGAATTGACAGGTCTAACCTTTAGCCCCCAAATTAAAATTGTTGATGGAGGAAGGATGGATTAGGTAGACTCATCATTGAGGACATAATGAATAAGAAGGTGATCCAAGGCCTACTATTTAGGTCGACTCAAGAACAAAAACATGTTTGGTTAAACATTTTCCATTATAACAGCCAAGTTGCACCTTATTTTCTATCCATTAATGTCAAGTTCACATGTTAGATAAGAAAACCACCAAAATGAATAATAACTAGGATTAACATTTTTTTAGTCAGTTCAAAAATCTGAAATATTTCAACATGTTCATCAATACATACTTGTTAATGCATATACATATATGCGAAATACTATTTAAACATTCTATAGCAAAATTCCACCAAAATGACCAACAATCAAGACAAGAATAAATACAAAAAAGAGCAATGAAGTCCCATCTATTTGTTTACCATTTCATCCATTACATCATTGTACCTAGAAATATCTACCTTCATTGATAGATTTTTCAAAAACTAAATTGAAAATTAAAAGCACAACACTATATAATTGGATAGATTTTTTAAAACACAATAAGTAGAATGTTGTAATAGAATGAAATAAAGGTAGAATGCTATAATAAACTGATAAATGAAACTACATCTTGCATAAGGCATGCATGCTTAAGAATAAAATGAAAAACAGAAAGTTGGCCACAGGGGATTAGAGAAAGCAACTCATCATTGAATTGACTTAAAATACGGGTAATACAACATAAACTATCGTCGTCAATAGTCAGTCGCTAAAAATGAAACTAAAAAAAATGTAAGAAAAGGTCGCAGATCATTTTTGTGACCTCTTTTTTGTTAATTTTTATAAACTGTCAAAATCAGAATCTGAAACTGGGATCCACGTCCATTGACCACGCAAACTTTGCTAGTAAAGACTTGTTAAAAAGCTGCATAACATTCAGTAAAAGTGATTAAACCATTATATTTGACCATTTATGATAATAAATAAAAAAAGATGATAATTAATTTGTTATGTTAATAAATAAGAGAAAAGAAAAATATGTTGTTAGTTGTTTGTTTACCTTCTCAATGGGAACTTCATGTCGCTTACACCATGCAACAGTTATTCTTGGGTCAAGATAGTTTATTTTTGAAGTGCCCAATGCTACTGTTTTCAAATCTTCCTTGGTCTCTTTATCGCGTTCCATTTTCTCAATTTTTGCATTAGTTTGAGCTATTTTCTTCTCTAACCTGCATTTTCCCCCAATTAATAATATTTATTAGGCCACATTCGTTATGCATGCAGAATACAGTAATCTTCTACTGTATTATTTAAACTCTCAAAAAGTTGGAACAATGAGACAAAACCAAACCACACTTTTTATCCCACCCAAGAAAAGGTGGAATAGTCCAAAAAGGCAGAGACCAAAGCTGTAATTTTTTGTTACACCCACAGAAAAGTGGGATATGTTTTTGAGGGTGAAAAAGACGAAAATGTCCCCCTAGAAGGCTTGTCAAGTGTAACAAACAGAGCTTTAATGTAAAAGTGGAAGAAGATTACGCTTCGGGGTTCAAGTTCCTCTTTGGTTTTCCATCAGGACCATTTTTATTTGATGGAGGCTTCCCTTTCTTTACACGACCCAAATCACTTTCCAATTCTTTTATAACACCCTATAAACAAAAAAATATAATATAAATTAATTAATATGGTCAACCACTAATGGAAGTTTACACTTTACACTTTAAACTACAATGCATTTTCATTTCGCAATGCGGGTCCCTCCCATTTAAATGTAAACAAAACGAAAAAACAAAAAAAAAAAGTAGGGAAAGTATATTGAGAGAAAACAACAAATGAGATGAGATCTAAATTTATTACACCTTTAATTCATCTATTTTCTCATTCAACCTTGTCATCTGTGCACTATGAGACTTTGAAACAGTACGTTGATGGTTACATATGATTGCAACCTACAAAAAAAAAAATGAAAATTATATATAATTAGTTCAACTTGGGACATAAATGCCCTCCTTGTTGTAAATAATAATTACCTCCTTATTTGCATGTTGGTAAACGACTAGATTTTGAGCAACATCTCCACCCTTGGTTTCCCTTGTCAACTGCATTCACCCAAAAAGTTAGAAATTTAAAAAAAAAAAATGATTATATATTTAACAAGGATGGGTATATCGGGTATGTGATATATGTATGTATGTTACCATATCATCCAAAGTGATGGATGCATTATAAGTACGGAAAACTTTAGCAGTAAGACCAGGCATTAGCTCCTTGAGATGAGCATTTAATTTACTTGTATCCAGCTTGTCAAACAGATCATCATTTCCCGCTTTACCTGCAATATATAAATATATATTTATCACTTTTTCTTTTTTTTTTTTAATTACATGATTAACATTTAAAACACAAAAGGTCAAAAAGTCAACGGACCTGTTCGGAACTGTTGGATTGCTTTGAAGACAGGAAGCTCCACTTCAACCTCATTCTGGTATCTTATAGAATCTTTACCAAGAAAGTCAAACTGTCCAAAACAAAACATACAACAAATTAAATTCAACATTACAGGAAATACCAACCTACTTTTCTCTCACTATATTTTAAAATTATAAAGAAAAAAAAAAGTTACCTTTAGGATATTTGGAGGCTCAGGCTCCACGTTTTCCACTTTCAATGTGCAGCAGCCTACTGTATCAGCTTCATCATCATCCTGGAAAAAACAATTACAATTACTTATAAATAAATATATATTTTTTTTTTAAAAAAAAAAAAAAAAAAAAAAAATGTACCTTCTCATTCCCTGCCCTGAGAGCTAGTTTATCAATGAGATACGTAGCCACTGCCACTTGCTTCTTTGTGACATCCGAATTTCCAAAATCTTTAGTGTAAGCCTTCCTTATGCCTTCTATATACCCCTATTATATATACCATACATCAATCATTATTCATTACTAACATTCATACTATTAAATAATAATAATTACCTTCAGCTTCCTAGCCTTCTCGTATTTTTCCTTATCACTTTGACCCTTCAAGGAACTGCTAGCAGCTAAAAACACATACTTGAATTCCTTTGAATTGATTGGATCATTCCAATATGCTAACCATGTCACAGTATTATCATGCCTGATTTCCTTCCACCTGTGCACCACATTACATTTATCTTACTTTAATTTTTATATTTAATAATATCATCTATCTAGTAGAAAAAAAAAAAAACAAACAAACAAACCTTTCACCAGGAATTGGACATTCTGGAATTGGAGCATCCTTTCCAATGTTTATGGTAATATCACTTGGATGGATTCGTTTTTTCAGCTTTCCCATCTAGCAAACCAACAACATATTTGTAATTTTATATATATATATATATATATATATATATATATATATATTTCTTTTCCAATGAATGAAAGGGTAAAGTTGTCATTCAAACCTTTGGATGCTCCCCCCGCCCACGGAATAGCCCAGGTGGCTCAACTCTGAAATTACCAACCTACACCATCAAAAATGCAGACCATATTTTCAATATATATTATGTTTGAAACCTTACATATATGCACAAACATTGTAAGTATTATTGTCATTTTCATTATAAAAGAGAGTTTCAAGATATAAAAAATAATAAATCAAGGCTAAGGATCACCTTTTCTTTGACACCATCAACGATTGCCCACATATATTTCTCTTCTATCTTCATTTTCTCCTCTTTTATCGCCTTCTTTTCCTACAGAAAGCAATTCTTACGTTAATACCCCCGTACATTAGATAAATTACAAAGATGGCTAAATGTTCATTACTAATGAGAAAATTGGTTGGATCTTGGAGAACAAAACCAATAAAATCAATATTTATCATAGTTTCTGATAATAACAAAAAAAAGGAAGAATTTTTAAGTAACTTACTTCTGTTGTCATTAGCTTCTTCTTCTCTTTTTGAGCCTGATGCCACTCATATATTGGTTTGAAATCACAGTTTTCCAAATTCTGGATTGTGTGGTTTTTTCCCAATATCTTTCTCCAGTCACCCCAGAAATTCTCTTTGAACTGAGGTTTTGCCATGTAATCTGTGTCTAACATCACTGAAAACATTGTTGCAACCTGTAAATGTGTAAAATAATAACATGATGATCATGCTTACATCCAACTAGTTTCTTTCTTCAAGGGACTAAAAACAAAACAAAAAACAAAAAAAGCAATGCACTTTTATTTATTTGTTTAGTATAGCATTTTGCTTTCATTTCATTCTATTACAGCATTGTATTTTCAAGAAGACAATGTACTCCAAAGAATCTACCCGATTACAGCATTCTGTTTCAAAACTTTTTTTTTTATCAAAACATTATACTTTGAAAGATCTACTCAAGGTACAATAATGTAATAGAAAGCAATGAAAGTATGATATGCTATAACAAACAAATAAATGAGAGGACATTACTATTTCCTGTTCATTTTTTTTAAAAAGAAAAAGATGAAGTGGAAAGTATGTATTAGGTTCACCTCCTCTTGTTCAGGAGTCAAATCAACAGGCTTCCCTTTGTATAGCATCTTAACCCCATGAGGCTTGTATTCAGGTGGGAAAATTACACCATTATGAACTAAACTTGTCCATTTCTGCCCTTCACCAGAACCAGGGGGGATCTTTGAGGGCTTAGAATACTTTGATTGTTTCTGTTTCATCATCTTCTTTGACTTCTTGTTGGTTTGGTTTAAAGATGAAGAACTCTTTTTCATCACCTTTTGTTTGTCAGATGAAGATTTATTACTACTTGATGCAGCTTGTTTCTTTATTCTTTGCGCTATGGGAACATCATCATAGTCATCATCATCATCATCATCATCATCATCTGACTTAATTTCTGCTTTCAAAGCTACTGGTTTGTGGTTGACAGGTGTTACAGAATCAGAAAGCTTTGGCTTTTTAACAGAAGCAGATCTTTCCTCATCTGGTGGTCTCTTATTCAACCCAATATTCTTCAATTGAGTATTATCCTTCGATGCAGAACCATTTTGATGAACTTTGGGAACCACTGGTTTATGATTATTAGATGATCCCACTTTGGATTTGGAATTATATTTTGAAGACAATGGTTTCTCATCATCAGACTCTTCATCTTTTACTGATGGTTTTGGAAGTGGGGACACACTTATACCTGGCCCTTTTTTAGCATGATTGGTGTCTCCCTTTGATACAGTTGAAATTCTAAAACTTAGTGGTTTATCATCTTCAGAATCCACCTCATCATTGCTTGGTTTAGGAGAAGGTTTGGAAGGCTGAGAAGAAGACTTCACTGTATCAGGTCTTGCATTCCTTCTAAAAATCAAGGGTTTATCGTCATCAGATGAATAACTCATTTTTTCGTCAGTTTGTTGTCATAAAGCACTTCAATCTCTAGATTCTTGCACTTATGGCTTTTGGATAAGATGGATTGACCTGTGTGAAGATCGAAAATAAATAAAACTGTAGCAAAAGAAAGATAAACAGAGTTTCTCCTTACAGGTTTGCTCAAACACTTGCATCAAAATTACAGCCTTTTGTGTGGAAAAAGATCAAGACTTTTAGCATTGATGGCCTAAAAAGTAATATAAAACTGTAATGTTCTGAAGAGGGTTTTGTGTACAGAGGTGTATATATAAAGTATAATGTGACTAGAAACAAGAAAACAAATGCAAACATCTTACAAACTCCAATACCTACATCCTGGTAACAGATTAGGGTTTGTGGGTCACTAAATTAATTATGGTGAAAAAAGTCTAAACGTACCCCTCTAAACGTTCAACTGCAAATTAAAAATGATTCAATACCTACGATAACATTCCTAATCTAAAAACAAAAGGATAACAGGGTTCAATTAACATGATGAACTGGTAATAAACAACGTTCAGTTACGTTATTATTGGACTAATTGAGATTAAAGCTCAAAATTTTGTTCGTTCGAAACTCAAAATCACAACTAATGAGAATGTTTGAAGCAATACGAAACAAAACGAAGCTGAGATGACGTCTAAAAGTTGCTAAATGTTTTATTACTTCGTCGTTCGGACTTCAAATTCTCTAGTCTAAATTATAATCGATAAAACAGACAAGGGGTTCTACCGATTGCACGGCGGGCGGAGACTGGTTGAACCCTAGATCCCGTTTCGTCTCCGACGATGTGAGACAGAAATTCAGGGAGAGCGAAGGAGATAGAAAGAGGGTTGCCGTACAACACAAATTTAGGACAGAAGAAAAGGAAGAACCGAAGAAGTAATTTTGTGTTTCGGGTTAAAGCAACGGATCGGGTACATGAGCCTGTCACCTTTAATCGATTCTTTACCTAATAAATCAACAAATTTTACAGCCCCTTGGTTAATCTGCAAAAATGTTTTTTTTTTTTTTTTTTTTTTAAATATACCCTTAATAAATTTAATTTGAAAAAATTATAACCACTAAATTCGCAAATGAAAAAGCCTCATTTTTCCATCTGCGATATTAACTTTCCATCTGCGAATGTACAAATGGCTAAAGCACAGTTGTACCTTAAGCACTTGTACATTCAGCCCGATCATCCAATTCGCTCCAACAGACAGGCATGGTTCTGTAGTCAAAGCAACTTCGTCACTTTCGTGTACCCATCGGACGGCAGCCCTTTCGGGGGTTCCTTAGGGACCGATTCACTCTGCGTAGATTGACTGAACGCAGAAAACCTTCCACTGGCAGGCGATCGTGTTTTTCACAGGATTTATCGTTACTCATGTCAGCATTCTCACTTCTGATATCTCCAGGTCTTGTCACCAAAAACCTTCCCCGATTGACAGAACGTTCCGCTACTGACACTTGAAAAAGCTGCTTTCAAGGTCTCGTCGCTTCGGTGGGGTAAGAGCGCCATAAAGACTATTGGTACCTATCATAGACTTGACTCATTTTATGGGCTTGAATTCCTTTCCCCGAGTTAGAGGGGTTTTCTGAAGGTCTTCCTCAAGGGCCACTTGGTTCTCAAAAAGACTGTTACCCCCGGCCAGAGTAGAAGTAGGCAAACGGATGTTTCTGGGGGGAACTACGGGAGACGGAGACAGGTGGTTAGGCGAGATTCTAACTTCTGGCTCATCGCAATTCCATTTCTTAAAGTGCAAGTCCAGTTTTCTCTTTTTATGAAAGTGAAAGTCAGGTTAGCCCCTTCTGTACGACGAGAGTTTCGCCTTTTGAAGCGCCAGTCGCGTAGGGCGACCGGGCCAGGCCGAGTCAGAAAGGCTTTGATGACTCAAGGTTCATATTAGGGAAAGGAGAGTGAGGGGAAGAGGGGGCAGCCCTCGGCCCGATCATCCAATTCGCTCCAACAGACAGGCATGGTTCTGTAGTCAAAGCAACTTCGTCACTTTCGTGTACCCATCGGACGGCAGCCCTTTCGGGGGTTCCTTAGGGACCGATTCACTCTGCGTAGATTGACTGAACGCAGAAAACCTCCAAAAAAAGGATTGTTTGCATTACTCAAATGTACAAATTTTTTACTCTGAGATCTATTCCAACATTTCCAGAAGAAACCATTAAGCTTTGGTTGAAAGATGCAACGTACATCAAAGATTATCTCTTCAGATTCGTTAATATGTGGATTCCGTTTCCGAATCTTCCGATCTTTTTTTTTCAAGACTACTACTATTGCTAACGTAGTAGGCAAAGTGCTATTAATCGGATGGTCCGACCCCATAGTGCAATTTTTGCTGTTCATCTGCGATTTTTGAGGTGAAAATCTATAAAACGGTTTTTTTTTCTTCATTTTTCACTCTTCGATATAGAAAATCTCTCTCTCTCTCTCTCTCTGGGATTCCTTTTGACGATTTCTTGAAGAAAATTGACGATTATTTCTACAATCCCGAAATATGATTAGATTTTAACTCTTTTTATTTTTAATTAACATTTATTTAGTATATATCTTTATTATTTTATTATTTACTGTATTAGTTAGTGTAAAAAAATGAAATTATATTGTTTGTGATACGATAATTTTGTTGTATTTGATAGTTTTAATATTTGTTATTAGTAAACTTGAAGTTTAAATAATATTCTGTTAGTGGTTGTATGAATGTATAAGTAGAGATTGTGTAGAGTGTGTGTCGGGTAGTTGTACATTTAGTAAAATGGTTAGAATATGCTAATTTTTTTAAGTTATTAGTTAAATAAATTGTAAGAATAATGTTTACAATATGTTTTGGTTAGTGGTTTAAGTTGATAAATTAATATAGCATGGTTAGAATATGTTATTTATCGTTTATATAGTTGTTGTAGAACTTGAAAAATTGTATATTTTTATCGTATAATTGTTTTTATAAATTGAAAAATGATTAAAATAATGTTTACAATATATGTAGAATAATCGTTTGTATATTTATCGTTGAAAATTTGTATATATTTATTGGTGAAGTATAAAAAAAATTATAGTATAGTTAGAAAATTTTGTAATATGTGTACCATAGTCGTTTGTATATTTGTCGTATAACTTGAAAATTTGTATATATTTGTTATTTTAGTAGAAAAAATTTTATAGTATGGTTAGAAAATGTTATTTTATATAATTTGAAAGTTAAAAATTGTTTGTATATTTGTCGTATAATTTGGAAAATTGTTAATTTAGTTGTCGTTTTAGTTGAAACATTGTTTGTTTATATGGTTAGAAAATGTTATTTTATATAATTAGAAAGATAAAAATCGTTTGTATATTTATCGTATAACTTGGAAAATTGTTTATATAGTTGTCGTTTAAGTTGAAAAATTGTTATAGTATGTTATTGTTTTTTAATGTAAATATATAAATTATTTATTAAATATTTGTATTTACATTGTTATTATTGTTTATGTTATTATTGCATTTAATAATCATATATTTTATAAATAGTTGTTTAGTTTTCTAATATGTTATTGTGTTTTGTGCAGCATGATTATAATAATTTCAATGTGAAAGTTATTGTAAACTTAAAAGGATCGGGGTGTAACATATGGGAAGTATTTGAAGTGTTAGATGGTGTCAGATGTGATATATTTAGAGATACCGTATTTGGTTACTTGTTGGACGTCCCTCGTTTACAAGGGGGCGGATTTTTGTTCCACAAAATGTTCATTCATCAGATACGGTCGGACGTTGTTTTATCTCTAGATGGAATAAAACAGTTATATTTTAGAGTAGGCGATACGAAAATGGTATATGGGCCGGAAGAGTTTTGTTTGATAATCGGGTTGAAATTTGGGAGTATCCAAAAAACATCGGGAAAAAAGTGTCAGAAAAAATAGTTAGTAGTCAAAAAAGATGTTTATTGCATGAGCGGCTATTTCCGAACTATACAAATAGTTTGGTGAAAATCGGTGACCTGAAAAGTTTTATTTTAAATCAACCATTCTTAGAAGTTGACAACGCTGATGCAGTTAGAGTATGTTTGATATACATTTTCTATGAAGGTTTTTTGGGAAAAGAAATAAATGACCAGGTGCCACAAGATTGGTTTTTTTTTTTTTTTGCTGAGAATTTTGATGTCTGGAACAGGTATTTTTTGCTTACTTTGAAAGTTTTATATTATTAATGTTAATTTATATTATAACTAAAAAAAATTGTTTTGTTAGTTTCGCTTGGGGTAGTTATTTGTGAGATTTTACGTATGATGACCTTAGGGATACATGGAACAAGATAAATAAATATTTATCACTTCCTGAGCGTCGTCAAACTTTAAAATACACCGTCTCAGGATTTACGGCTCCAATTAGGGTATAAAAATTTACTTATATTTAAATGGTTTTATTGTTATGTTAGTTATTTTAATTTTAACTTTTATTACTATAATTATAAAAATTGTAGATATGGATATATGAGATGCTTCCGACTGTTCATGTCTGTAGATTTGTATTGAGAAAAAATAGAGACATGCCTCGGATGAAACGATGGAGTGGGACAAAAAAATTAAAATGGGTTGATGTGAACAAGATTTTTTCAAACATACATGTTTATAAATATTTTTTTATTATAAATAAAATTCATTATTATACTTTTATATGCATTTTTATTATGTTCAATTTTTTAGGAGGGACAACCACCAAGAAAAAAATGTCACAGAGTGATGATGAGATAACATCTTGTTATTATATGTTATTTCAAGAGTATGTATATGGTGAACGGAAATCAGTTTCATTTCCATTACGGGACCATTTTAGGAGACAAGATGAATCTTCATCTAGTATGTCGTCTAGTGGTCGCTCTCATGGTAGAGGCGAGCGCAGTGGGAAACCCGACCTAGAGGAGGTGTTGAAACGGCTACATGCACTGGAGCAACATGTGTTTGTAAACCGAGATGTAACATCCCAAATTTCATAAGTACGATTGAAGGGTCTAAAGTTTACATTGAGGAGGCTACTCGACGAGTAGGTGCGGTTACTCGTCGAGTCAAAGCGAGATTTGGTCGCGAGTTAAGTGACCAACTAGCCGAGTCGGCAGTTGTACTCGACGAGTTGGTGCTGGGAAGAGAAAACCCTAATATTAGGGTTTGCACCCTATTTAAAGGACTTAATGTCCTCCCCTCTGCCTCCTTATTGCTCTTGAGAGTCAGTGAACCCTAAAATCGTAAGAGCTTCCATTGTTAAAGATATTTGAGCTTTGGAGGAGGAATATTGAGAAGGGAGCTTGAAGAACAAGAGGCTAGCATCAAGGGTTTGTGTAGATCCAGAATATGCTTCAGCTTGGGCACATTTTGGAGGTAACAAGTTGTTACCTTGACTCTTTTGCATCTAGATCTATTCTTGAATGAGAATTAGGGCCATTTTGGCATGTTAAGGATCTATTTCGGGTTAGGGGTCTAGATCTGAGGTTGCTACTTCAGATCTAGACTTGTCTTGGTCCAGAAAGTCATAAAGTATCAGCCCTTGGTTTGTTGGTGAAGCATCTTTGTCTTAAACCTTATCCCTAGATTGATTTGGGCCTATAGCTCCTTTTTTTCACGTAAAGTTGGCAACTTTACGTAAGAGTCATGCCCTAAAAGGATGGATCTACAGTTTGGATCCCCTACATGGCTCGAAAAGGGTCTGTATGGATGAAGGACTAAAGAGACTCGATGACTCGCATGGGTGGACTCAACGAGTCATATGATGATGAGCTTGGACTCGACGAGTTGGAAGAACAACTCGGCGAGTCTGATGAAGATTGTCGTGGACTCGGAGAGTCACAACGCAGAACCCCAACCTCTTCTAGTTAAGACTTGGAGTAGTGAGTTGAGTGGTGACTCAGTGGGTTGGACAGGATAGGACTCGGAGATTGTTAAACTCGACAATTCATGGGGTGACTCGGAGAGTCGAGTCGTGATATGAGAGTTTTCTGAGTTTAAGAACTCGGCGAGTCAGGGTCAATCAGGAAAGTTGACTTTAGCCAGGATTTTGACTTTGACCAATTTGACCTTCAAGGGTATTATGGTAATTTGGATATTTATGTCAATGGATCATTGATGGCTATAGGTGTTGGAGTTGGAGGCAATGCTTCGGGATTGTGCTTTCGTGGTTCAGTTCGGCAGTTGCAGGTGAGTTATCCTCACTATACCCAAGGGTCTAAGGCACCAAGGTCGGCCCTTTGATTTTTATTTGATATAGTTATTGTTATGATATGTTAGTTGGCATTCTGGTAGAAAGGATGATTATGTGTTAGCTTTGTTGGTTAGATCGGTATCCTGGTAGATTGGTGATGGCTATGCTTAGTGGCCTGTAGTTTTCTGACTGTTTGTATGCTGTGTTGGATTAGTGTCTAAGTCCATAACTATTTTGGTATGTACTTGACCCGATGGTGCATGGTCCTTTTGGGTTGCCTTCACCAAAGCAACTTGATTGGAGAAATAAATAAAGAGGGAGAGGTTATTATGATTTATTAATATGTTATAACAATAATATATTAAAGGAGAAATCATATTTGTTTAATTAATATTGGTCAATAATTAATTAGGAATTAATTTTGTGATCAAGTGTAATTAATTAAACTAGAGGGGCTGATTTGTAATTATGTGATAGTTACAAAATAAGGTAAGGATTATCTTAAATATAGGGTGAACGAATTTAAGGAGATAATGCCTTAGAATTCGACTAGGATAAGGGTTTCTAAGACTTATCTTATGGTTACTTGGTGGGCAAGCAACTAGATAAGGATAAGGACTAAAACCCTAATCTTTACACCTATATAAACCCCCTTGGCACATGATTTCGTGTAAGACCTTCCCTAAGGGTTCTAGGGACGAATTTGATACCTCCCCTCTCTCCTCATATCTTCTCCGTTTGCTCTTGGTGTTTGTGAGCCATTAGAGGAGTGACAATTGTGACTCTAAGCCTTCCAAAGTCAATACAAGGAGATTTGGGATTATTATTGCTACATAACAATCAAGGTAACATTATAAACCTATTCTTATGTTAATATGATCACTTGAGTGCTAGAATTAGGGTTTATAGTCTTGGATTCAAAGCATGTACAATAGAGAAACCTAGATCCAAGCATTAGGGTTTGTATGAGCACATAGGATGTCTTATGACCAAAACCCATCAGTGGTATCAGAGCCTAGGATGGTTTCAATTGTATAGATGCATTACATGTTCAAAAAATTTGTTTTTTGGTGTTTTGGAGGTTGGACTCGCCAAGTCCATAGTTGAACTCGCCGAGTCCATGCAGACTCGACGAGTCCAAGCCTGACTCGACGAGTAACTCGTCAGATGGAGGGT